GTGAATCTATAAACCTCTCCACAGGCGATGAAATAAGTCTCAAAGATGGTTTTAGACTTCAAAGAGCAGTTACTAGATCATTTTTTTTCTTTGTAACCAAGAGTTTGTGAAGGGAGATAATAAGAAATACATCTGGAAAGGTAGGTTGGAGCCAGAATGTGGTGTGCTGTAAATTCCAGATTGAGCAGTATATATTTTATCCTGGAGGCAATACTGATCCACTGAAAAAATTTTAGTAGGGTAATAACATGATCAGAACTGGGTTTTATGAATAGTAGTAAATAATAATTTTATCTGTATTTATTATTATTATTAAGAACTTTTGTATAATATATACATGCTTATCCCATGTCAACCCAGGAGGCATGAGTTTATCTGACAAAATCCCTGATTATGCCAGCCTGATCCAGCCTCTTATATTAAATTATTTGGCAGCATGGGCCCCCAAGTAAAGTCTTCACACTTCTGTTTCATAATGAGTTGATGTGAGTCGGACTTCTTCCAGAAGCTCAGGTGAAAAAAATAAACCTTATCGATGTTTATTCTTTTCCATTAGTTCATTCAAAGTTAGAAAATTATTCTATTCCCTGGGACTAAAATCCAAATACTAATTATTTGTTTAGTGATAAAATCTGAAATTGAAAGAAAGTTGTTGAGAAAATATAATTAATATTCCTTTTTGTTCCATGTGATTAGTATGTGGGGGAGATAGTAGAATTATTGTTCCCATTTAAAAATGAGAAAATGAGGTTCAGAGAGGTGATGTGACTTGTCAAAGACTATATAGCTAATTAGTTGCAGAGACAGAACCCAATCCTTGGTCTCTGGACTAAAAATTAAAAAGGGTGGTAGTCAGAATCCAAAAGATCTCAACAGGCTAGAATAATGGGCCAAAATGAATAATCAAATGTGTTAAAGATAAATGTAAACTCCAACAATAGGTCCAAAAAGTCACCAACTTCACAATTACAAGGTAGGGGCAGGAATAACTTGACAATAGTATAAATGGAAAAGATCTCAACCACATGTTCAGGATGCATCAACAGTGATGTCACAGCCAAAAAAGCTAAGATATTTATGTTATATTTGAAGAGACAGTAACCATGAAGAGGAAAAGTATAATTCCATGGTACTTGGCACCTCATTAGACTACATCTGAAGCATGTTCTAGATAGTTAATTTAAATATCTATCTATATCTATAAATAGATAAATATAGATATAAATAGATATAGATATAGATATAGACAAGCTGAAGATCACCAAGATGCCTTTAGACCATGAAATCAGAGAAGGAAGGAAGGAAGATTGAAGGAAATGGAAGTATTCACCCTGGATCAGATAAAATATAGGGAAGATGGGTAATTGCTACCTTCAAGTATTTAAAAGACTGTCTCGTGAAAAAGGGAATTAGATTCATTGTACCTAACTCCCTAAAGCAGAAATGGGAACAAATGGATATAAGCTGCAGAGAAGTGAATTTTAGCTTTCCATAAGGAGAATATTTCTAATATTTAGAACATTATAAAAATGGAATGGACTGCCTTATTGGATTCCCCCTCATTAGACGTCTTCAAAGCAAAGGAAGGAAGACCACTTATGGAATAGCAAAGATGAATCTTGCTGAAGTAGAGGTTGGACCAGAAGGCCTCTGAGGTCGCCTCTAGCTCTGTTAGTCTTTTAATCTCTGACTAGTTATCTCTAAATGTGTCACTTATTTTCTTTGGTCCTCAGTCTCCTCACATGCAAAATGAAGGAGAAGAATTAGATAATATCCCAAGTCCCCTTCCAGCTCTAACATTCTAGTATCCTAAATAAAGTACTGTTTCCATGATTGTTTTACAATTGGCAGGTCATCAGGATAAGGAGCACAGAATTGCAGGGCATGGTTTCCTTATGCTGTTTATTTTGAGATATTTTTGTTTTGTCATTTCACTACATTTCTTAAGAAAAGAAAGCTATGTTGTAAATGATAAAGCAAAAAAAAATCTCAAAATAAACATCATCTCAGTCTTACAAGTCTGGAAGATGACAGAGAGTTTCTCTCTTCTGCTTCCTCCTTCCGTTTTACTAATGAGTGTATCAAGTCCCAGACAGATGTAATTAATGGCTTTTCCAAGGTCACACAGCCAATTGTTGCAAAGCTGGGACTAAAAATCTGGTATTCTGACTCCCAGTTCAGTGTGATTTCCACTACATGATGCTACTAATACTTGAAGGCGACAGTATAAGACATTTGAGTTATGACTTAATTATCTCTAAATAAAAAAATAAGTAAGCCCCATATTCACCTAGCAAAATCTTATCAATCTACCAAAGCCTATCCAAATACCACTTCTTCCTTGAAGCCTTTCCTAATTGTGCCTCTCTCGTCTAACTGCCACCCCATCTCCAAAGCACTTAGCACTCTTGTGGTATAGTAGAAATAGAATTATCTGTGGAGTTAAAGACCCAGGAAGGGAGGGAAACAGAACCCAACCTGTGATAGTGAGTTGTGGGGGAGTGGAGGGAGAAGGGTGGTTAATGCTGTGTAGGGGATTGCAGAAGGGAAAAGAAGGGGAGGGAGGGATGAAGGAAGGAAGGAAGGAAGGAAGGAAGGAAGGAAGGAAGGAAGGAAGGAAGGAAGGAAGGAAGGAAGGAAGGAAGGAAGGAAGGAAGGAAGGAAGGAAGGAAGGAAGGAAGGAAGGAAAGGAGTGAGGGAGGGAGAGAGGGAGTTACAGTTTGAGAAGTCACAAAGATGGTAAATGGAATCAATAAGGAAGTCAACTGACATACACTTCTGCACAGAAATGATAGTGTGAATTTGATTATAGTTCTCGAAGTGTAAGAGGTGGAAAGAGAGGTGGGGCATCAGAACAGAAAATGATCAGGGTAGAGATGAACCTGTTTTGTCTCAGGAAGTATAGAGCTGAGTTGTTTGACTCCTCCCAGGCATGGCCTCTGGTGGTGTGGTTTGGAGGGTGAAGCAATAGCAGTAGTAGTAGCACAGCAGAAAAAAAAATGGCCAAGGTGAAGAAGAGACATGCACTCAATAGCTAATTTTGATGCCTATGAGCCATGTCACTTTAGGCAAATCATTTTCAACTCTCCGAGCTTCAATTTCCTCACCTGTAAAATTAGGACAATATTACTTCCATGGCTTAATCATGCAGAGTTTTTTAAAGCATTGGTAAGCATGAATAATTATAATTGTTTTATGAAGTCTTCCCCAAAGCCTCATCATGACACAGAGGTGACCATGGGGTTCTGGAAGCTATACCTATATAGATGGATTTTAACAAACTGGAATGGCTTTAAGTGCAGGCTCAGTGATGGATTATTTGTCTGCTGTCCAGCACCATTCTGGTTAAGGTCAGATACGTTCATCACATCGACTGAAGAGTAATTAATTTTTCAGCTGTGGCTGAAAGAACATCTACTAAGTTGTAGATTTGTAATCTGCATCAATCGAGAGAACATGCATGCAGATAAAATCACAGGTCCTAGGAGCATTGAAATATACTTATTATTTGTACATATATGTCTTACTTCCCTTTACAGAAACCATCACAATATCTTAGAAATAAAACTAGAGAGCTGATTTTTAGTCTAGACTCTGACACTAACCAACCTTGACCTTGGACAAGTCTCTTAAACCATTTCTTGAACTTTTATTGATCTGTAAAATTAGTCAAACTAGATGATTTATGAGTTTCCTTCAGAATCTGAAACCCTGTGATTCTCAGCTAGATTATAAGCATGTTAAAGGTGAGTCCATAACTGGCTAATTTTATATGCCATAATGTCTACCACAGTACCCTCCACATGGTAAGTGTTTGAAGGATGAATGATAAATCATATCTTTATTTTGTGTGCTGGGAAGGATGAGATTGTATGCAGCAGAGGAAGGTGTACTGAATAATCAAGATAATTGGATTAGAAGTTAAAGTTCTGCCTTGGGACCTTGGGTAAGTTTTATCTTTGTACTGCCAGCACAAAGCTTAATTACTGGCACATAGTAGGGACAGAGATAGGAACTAGAATTGTGATATCCTTGGTACAGAAGGTGTGGCTCCTAATGTAGGACAGTACCTTCTCTGCAGATTTTGGTTAGATTGCTGCCTGGAGTACTGAGTGCTTGTGACTTTCCCAAGACCACATAGCCAGGATATCAGTCAGTACTAGAATCCAGTATTCCTAGCTTTGAGGCAAGCTTTCTGGCTGCTATCTACTACATAGTAAGATCTTAATGTGCATTTGTTGATTGCTTGATTGCTTGATTAAACTCATTGGCCATCAATTTCTTCATTTACAAAAATAAAGAGATTGGACTAGAGCAATGGTGTCAAATACAAACAGATCCTTGTGGGCCTCACATGGACTTGGGAAACTGCAAATAAATATGGTATTGTAATCTTGTTTATTTTATTAAACATTTCCCAATGACATTTTAGTGTATGGGTTACAATTTTGACACCTCTGGACTAGGTGATTTCTAAGGACTCTTGTAGCTTAACAGTTCTTTCAATGTTAACCCATACATCAAATGCAGAAATAATCAGAAAATGAAACTATAGGAAAGCTGCTTTTCATTAACATTGGGCAAAGGCTGAAATTTCTTCTATCTTTCTATAATGAATGAGCTATATATCTGCATGCTATCCTCTGAATCATTTAGGATTCTCCTAAGTGTTGAGTAGTCTATAATAGACTCCATGGTCCCTCCAAAAAGGCAGAGAATACCTGCTGCAAGCTGAGGGAACCCACCAACTCCATCATGGTTCAAGGATTACTAGGGTCCTACTGAACATTCAGAGGAAGACATGCAAAGCCAGGAAAAACCCTGTAGTTTCCCTTCCCTCCCTTCATTCAAATGCTTCAGAGAACATACTCCTAATGCCCTCTCATCTTTTATAGCTGTCTGGCCATGCACTTGGATATCAATATGTTTTCCAGATCTTCTGATTGCTGCTTTATTTCTGAAAGTGACATCCTCTTCTTCCTGTCCATGTGTTTTTTTAGCTCTGGCGGAAATTTGTCCGGCTTGCCTATAACTTTGTGGTCATCTTCATTCCATGGGAAATGAGAATAAAGAAAATAGAAAGTAAGTATTTGTAATCTGAGGAGAGATAGGGAATGTTGGCAGGCTTTATTTCCAATGTTCTGTTCTAGAAAGGCTTTGAATACACAGAAATATTATCATCTTTTTCTTTTATTTTAAAAAAAATTCATGTATATATATTTTCTTTCACTCTCATCCCTCAAAGTGAAAAAGAAAGAAAAAGAAAGCCTTTATAACAGATATGTAGAGACAAGCAAAAGCAAATTCCTACATTGGCTATATCCAAAAATGTATCTTAACCTATGATTTCTCTGAAAAAAAATACAGGTACCATATTGCCTTGTTGAGCCTCTGAAATTATGATTGATCATTGCATCAATTAGTTATTAGCTCATGATCCTTTTCCAAAGTAACGTTTGCAGATGGAGTGTTGCATAATGGACCAAGTGTTAGTCTTGGAGTCAGAAAGACATGGGTTCAAATCCTGCCTCTGATATTTACTAGTTATATGATCATGGAAAAGCCATTTAATGTCCCTGAGCCTCAGTTCCCTCATGTAAGATGGAGATAATACCTATAGTTACAGCCTGAAAAGGTTTTATGGTTGTGAGGCTCAAATATGCAGGGATAGTGGAAGTATTACAAAATTCAAGCAGTCTTTTAAATGCATTTTTTAAAATTAGGAAAGCAATTTCACAGAAATTTTTAAAAAGAACTGACCATTAAACTCTAACTATAACACCACAGCTAGTACTTTTTTTTCTCCTGAGGAAAATTCAGTTTGGGGGTGGTAACACAAAAGATAGTAGTGTTTCTGCTCTTGGTAAAATCACCAATGGTCCCAAACCCTACAACTCCCTAGGGGCAGAGATATAAGCAACAGGCAGGAGATCCTAGAAGACAGAACCTAGGAGACATGTACCATAGGGATAAGACCTGGGAGAGACAGGCTGATGGCAGAAGAGGGGAAGCAGCAGCACCAAGCAGTAGAGAACCATAAGTCACAAGAATGGCAGCCTAAAAAGCCACTGAAGGAAGGAAGCAGGCCCCCTCCCATTGTACCTTGGCACAAAGCTCTATTGCCCCACCCTAATTATGGCCCAACTCCCTTTAATTCCATCAAATAATAACGAGGATAACAACATTCCCATTTCTACAGCACTTTAAGATTTACAAAGCACCTTCCTCACAACTGCATTAGAGAAATAGATTTGAGTATTATCCACAGTTTTCCATCCTATAGTAAGCAAAGGCAACATGGCATAATGGAAAGGATGCTGAACTTGGAGTCAGAGGAACTGACTCTCCTGCTTACTACCAATGTAGCCTTTAATAAGTCAGTTAAATGTTCACTGGAATCTACAAAATTAGAGTTTAGAGCTAGATGATGTCAAAGTTCCCTTTCTAGCTCTAAATTTTATAACATTTTTGCATGAGTAGTAGTGATTCAATCACTATACAGACAAGAACAAATTACGAAAAGAAATGCTTATAAAATTAAACAAGTAATGTGCTACTCTACACATTAAAACTCTAGCAAATCTAGGTCCCAGCGTTTTCATCTGCAAAATGAGGAAATTGTATATGATGTAATGGATATAGGGCACTGGATACAGAGTCAGGATTATTATTATTGCTCAGTTCTTTTCAGTCATGTTACAGTAGCTGTGTAACGGTGAGCAAGTCACAACCTCTATGCATCTCAGTTTTCTCATCTGTAAAATGAGGGGAGTCATAATCAATGACCTCTACAATCATTACCAGCCCTAAATCTCAGATCCTATAATCTCTTTAATCCCTTCGAGTCTAAATCTGTGATGCTATGATCACTAAGGTCACTTTCAGCTCTGTGAATGGAGGCTTAATAGTAAGTAATTCATGATGGAAATATTGTGGTACTTACTGTTCTTATTGGTCTGTGAGTCATTCCATCCCTTGACATGAGATTTAACAGGGATACATGGCGGTAGCCAATGGTGGAAATGGTATTGAGTATGTAGGGAAAGGTTAGATGGTAAGCCTTGTTAATCACTTTTCCTAATACAGAGCTAAAAGTGCAAGTATGGGGAAATGTAACAGTGAAACTATTTGAATTCCTGTCCAGTCTTCATTAACAGGACTTCATTTGAGGAGAATGGGAATAGTTTAGCAGATATCTAAAAGCCATTGTGCCTATAAGCTACATAATGCTGGTTTTAATGATTACAAAAGATATAAATTTATATGTATGTATGTATATATATATATTCTTTCTCACGCTCCTCCTTTTGCCACCAATGGCATATATTTAAAAGTTGGCTGCCCAGAAATGAAGGAACATTGAAGCTACAGAAGAGAGAGCTGAATGGCCCCATACCCATAAGTGGCCCCACCATTGGCCTTGCCATATAATATCAGTGCTGAGTTCAAGTCCCTTCTCAAAATATATGTGTTGTATAACCCTTCAGTGTCACAGGCATCTCTCTAAGACTAAATTGCAGAACGGTTGTTGATTTGCATTGATAGAGTGAGTTTCCTTACTGGGAAAGGGAGTGAAAATGGGAGAGAAGGAAGGAAGGAAAGGAGGAAAGAAAGAAGAAAATGAGGAATAAGAAAGCAAGCAAGCAAGAAAGAAAGGAAGAAAAGAAAAGCATTTTTTCAATACCACTATACTGGCTCAATTGCTAATCATGCTATAGATTCCACTTTTTGGATAGCTCCATTTTGGGGGAGGTTCTTTCATATGTTGAGCTAAATCTGCCTTCCTGTTACCTTTAATCATTGGACCTAGCTCCACCCTATGAAGTCAAGAAAGAATAAGCCTAATTCTTATTCTATGTAACAGTCCCAGCATCATAAGATCATAGAAGCTCAGAGTCGGAAGGGCCTCCAAAGCCATCTGGTTCAATCTATGTCTGAACAAGGATCTCTCTATGAACATATCTGAAAAGTGGCCATCTAGCCTTTGCTTGAATACCTCCAGGAAGAGGAAAACCCGCTACATCCTGAGACAGCCCATTCTACTTTTGGACGCTCAGAAGAGTGAGAAAATCAACAATGTTTCAGCCTTCCATAACTATCAGGATGTAGAAACCTGAACGTTTTCCATCTAATATTTGAAGACAAATGCATATTCCCTTAAAGTCTTCTATAAGACTAAACATTTTCTATTTTTTCAACTGTTCCTCATAGGAGATGGTTTCAAACCCCTTCACTACCCTGGTCATTCTTGCCAGACATGGTCTCATTTTTAAAATTTGGCTGCTCAAAATGAACAAAATGCTACAGATATCACCTGATCAAAGTCCAATGGAAATGCCAGGTCTTTTTTAAAAAATATTATTCTTCATCGAAGTCATGGCATCCCTGTTCTCCAAATAATTGTCCTATAGCCCAGCAACCAAATCTCTGAGTTCACCCATAATGGATTCAGTCGTGGAAGTAGCCCCCCAAATAAATTCTTTTGTTCATTTTTCCCACACCTAGCATTCCCTCTGGGATCTTCAGAATTCAGCTTACTTATATATTTCTAAAGGTATAGATGAAATGATACCACCAGCTCCCCTGTAAGTGCTCAGGGAAAGTGTGTGTATCATATAGAACATCCCTTATTTTGCCCCACAAACAATATAGAAAGCACATAATGAACTTACTCTGACCACTAATTGATTGATACAATTCTTTTCTGCTGAGTTCTATCTCCCCCTACCCCCTCTACCCCACAACTCTCCACCCCCAATCCCATGACCTGTACAGTCCTTCAAACTCATAGCGTCACCCTCTTGTTTGGACTGCCCTCAAAAGGGAAATAACTTTAGGCTAGAGAGGCAACTCCTAATATTCTTCTCCTGCTTTCACCTTAGGAAATCATACAAGTCTAATGGCACCACACAAAGAGCTAAGAATCCCCCCAGAAATTAACTTCAGGTTGCTAAAGAAGCAACCTCCTTCACATTAGGCTTGAACCATTTAAATAACTCATGGTAATAGAGAAAGGCAAAGTCTAATTTTTTTCTCCTCTTTGTCATGGTCGGATCTCTTACTTTTGTCCACTCAAACAGTCACCGTTATAGGTGACTTATCACTTCTTATCTTACCACTTCTTGCCTATATTTTTGTAATAGCCTTGTAATTGTTTTCCTTACCTCAAGCCTGTCTCCACTTTCATCAATTAAATTTAATTAATCCTCTGGCAATCCAGCTGGCAAAGTAATTTTCCTAAACCTCAGGTGTGATCATGTTACCACACTGCTCAGTGAGTACCTTCAGGATCAATAAAACCCTCTGGTATGTAAAACTTCATAACCTGATTCCTGCTTATCTTTCTTGTCTTCTTGTACTTTACTCCTCTCCATTCACTTTATTATGCCTGTTGCATCCCTGATGAACCCTAGTCCTAGAACGCTGACACTCCTCCAGAAGGCAATGTAAGTATGGTACTCCTTCAGAAAGCTGAGGTTTAGAAACCCCCATTACTATGCCTTTCTTCCATGCCTCTGCTCCTCTCTGTGGATGGGCTGGAAGAGAAGGGAGGAATTTTCTGCCTGCCAGAGTTTTGTAGAGGGTATCCCTGAAATATCAGTGCAGTTTTAAGCTTTAATAATACACTCTTACCAAGCTTCTAATAGAACTGCACTAAGACATTTGCACCATCCTGTATAATAACATTGCCTCAGTCAGCCTTATTTTGGCCTATTCAACCAGTAAAAATGGGCTGAAAGGAGATCATATTAATCAGGCCTTCACAACCTGCAACCTGAGGTTTGTCTACAGTTTTCGCAGGCTGCCTGAATCCTGTGGCGTGCCACAAGTGGCTCGTGAGCCACAGGCTGTACAGGCCTGCTATAAATAGTAACATCTGCATTTCTGAATTACTCTTTTACTTTAAAACTGTATGCAACAATGACAAGATCATTAGAAGCATGAAATGCACTGTGACTTGTGCGTCGTGATCGAAAGAGAAATCATCATTACCGTCTTAAAGTAGAGCAATCATCATCTGACTTAGAATAAAGAAAAAGTCTTTGCCTTACGGTCGGGGTCACAAGTGAGCTGCTTATGTATGCTTATGTCTCCTAAGGTCATTTTGGATCTGGTGTTGCCTCCTATTTTATCTTTTTGAGATGGCTGTTTGGAATTAACATCGTGCTTACCATAATGACGGGTGCTTTTATTGTTCTTCCAGAGGTAAGAATCATCAGAAAAAGAAAAAAAGAAAGAAAAGAAACACATGGCATTTACAGAAAGAGGAAAGGAGATTACATTTTTTTTGTCATGGAAGATGGTGGGGGACAACGTAAAGGTTGAAATAGAATCGCAATATGAAACTCAATTCATTGCTAAAAGTCATTTCTGCCCATTTAGTGATGATGTTGCTCTCTAGCTCATGTCCACGTCATGCAATGGTCAAACCCAATATGTTACCATAATATGTACTCCCAAGTTGACCTCATCCCATTGATAACCACTTTTCAAGGGCTATTATCTAACCTTCTAGTCTCTTACCTAGAATTGACACAAAATTTTCCATTAATTAATGAGTACATCATGTAGGGCAAATTTAAAACCTTTCCTAGTACAAGATAAAGTGTGTCTCTGACTTCCTTTCAAACTAACAACTGCCATAGAAATAAATCAGATTAGTATAAAAGTAGGTTAGCTTCTTCTTCATTTTTTTTTCTTTTTTCTTTTCAATTAAGCTCCTATCCAGTGATCTGTCCTCTTTCATGGCTTTTTACTTACCTCACTCCAACCAAAACTCTTGTCTCTTGAGTGTTTGGTCAGAAGCTGATCTGATTAAATCAATTTTGTGATCATTTTTTCTTAGCATTGACATTTCTGGATAAAGGAGTTAAGTTTCCAGGTTTAATTACCTAGATATACCCTTTCCCCTTTTATAAAGTATAGTCCCCATATTGCACATCCTTCAGTTCTCCATGAATTCCCAAAATGGTGATACAGGTATCTCCTGCACCTTTTATGTGTATTACACTGTGGTAGGCTTTGGACAATGTAAGTGCAGGATATGCTTATTTTGATATGTTGATGGATCTGTGTGTGTGTATATATGTATTCCTGCCAACAATATAGATCACACTCTATCCATGCCTGCTCTTTCTCTCCAACCACTATCCAGGTCTTCCCATAAATACACCACAAAAAGTCCCCCACAATGATCTGGAACACCTTCCTCCAGATCAGTTGTCATTGTATAAATGACAATGAAACAAGTGGACTGATGGCTAGATTTCCTTCCCTCTCTCAATGTGACCAGTCCACTTTTTTTTTTCAAGTCATACATCACTCTGGAAGCATCCTCTATAATGCTTTGCCTGCACAGTTCTTCATTGGCACTGTGTTATAGCCCACTTAATGTACCATCACACTCTCTCTTGTACTTTAGGTGACCTTCAGCTATAATACTTTATAGACTGGGCCGTGCTGTAACATTCAGCTAGATAGTATCACTAGAGGAATATTGTTGTTAAAAGATGGAACTAGTTAGGCTCATGAAAAGCACTGAAAGTTTCCAAACGCAATCCTGGCAGATCTATTCAACCCCAGGCCCAGCTCACTGCCCATTTTCAGTATCTGTTCAAGGGTGTGTGTAACAATGGACCAGCTCTATGAGTTGTCTATCCAATTGCCTATCATAGACTTGACCAGTGGCATCAAATTCAAATAGAAATAGGGGCCACTAATCCATGCATAAAGATGCTTGTGGGCTGCATATTGACTTAGTTTTGAAATGTAATATTATCTACATTTTATTACATTTTATTTATTTTGTTAAATAATTCCCAATTACATTTTAATCTGGTTCAGGCTGTACTCAGGAACATTGTGGGCCATGTGTTTGACAGCTCCTTTCTGGACAATATCCATTCTTCATCCTTTTGGTTTTGTATTTCCCCCCCCCAAAAGGCAACAAAAATACCAACTACCAATACATCTGCCTACTTTCTCACATCTACAAAAATGTTGAGCATAATCTACATGTACATTGCAGCATTAATGGAGGTTTAAGAAGGAAACAGGAGGGCTTTTGTGAACCATATTCTACATCAGACCCTAACTCTACAGTCATACATTTGGCTAAACCATAGGGAGAATACAAGTGCCTGGTTTTGGTTGACCATATAAAAGCATTTGATTTACTGTCTATACATGTATGTGATAGCATAGGAGACTTTTCTTTGGGATTGCACTGTATAAGTCTGTCCCAAAAGTCTTAGTGCAGTTTTAAGCTATTAACAGTTTCTTAATAGGATTAGCACTTCAGATTGTATCTAGAGAACACATTAGATGTCTACTTAATGAATATACAATACAGGGTGTCCCAAAAGTCCTAGCGCAGCTAACTGCACCCAGCAGACATTTGGTACATCTAGGTACAATCTGAAATATATACAAATGGTAACAATCTTTTTTTTCTGCTGCTTTATGAAGTCATTATTTGAACAGATATTATCTCAAAACTTGTGCAGAGTATAATGTATTGGACTTTGAATGAGGAAGACCTGGCTTCAAATCCTTCCTCAGACCAGCTGTGTGACCCTGGCAAATCCCTTAACCTGTCTGGTACTCCCTTAGATTCCTCACCCATAAAATGTGCTCAATGTCTTCTATAACCCCTTTAAGCTCTAAGTTAATGTCCAATGATCATTTCTCTTCACCAGACATACAATGAACACCAACTGTATGTTGGAGATTGTGATGTATACTCCAATAGTGATGGTCCCAGGTGCCAATACAAGGTCCCTTTCTCAGGCCAGCCAGCTCTTTTTTTCCCTATTCCCTCTTCTCCCCCTTATTCCTCTAGAATGGATATCAATTTATGGCACTGATCTTTCTTTTCTCATCAGCTGATTGCAGGGCAGCCTTTTGGAAGCACCATCAGCAAGACTATTCCCAAGGACCATGTTGCTTCGGCACAGGACTTGGACACCGTCTGGTCCCTGGGGGTAAAGTTTATAATTCTCACTGGCTTCCTTTGTAAATTCAGCAAGGTTTGAGGACACCAGAAGTCAGTGATGATGTCAATGGTATTCTCTTTGCAGGGCTATCTCAAGTACTCTGTTTTATTTTATGGCTACTATGGCAAGGAGAGGAAGATCGGCAAAGCTGGTTACCGGTTGCCTTTGGCTTACTTCCTGGTTGGCATGGCGGTGTTTGTTTACAGCTTTATCATTCTGCTAAAGAAGTAAGGTTGTGAATGTGCCTGCATCTTTTTCTGGCCTATCCACTTTGGCCTTTTAGCCCATCCTGTTGCAGCTTTACCGTGTGCTTCTAAGGCAAGGGTTATTAGCTTGGGTTCCATGGACCCATAAGGGGTCTGTGGATAAATTTCTGGAGGCCCATGAACTTGAATAGGAAAAAAATAACATATTTATTTTTACTAACCTCTAAATGAAATTTGGTATTTCCTTCAATTATGAATGCAGGCAACAAACCATTATTCTGAGAAGGCATAATAAGGTTATTCAAACTGTCAAAAATATTCATGACACAAAAAAGGTTAAGAATCTTGCTCTAAGGAAGTAGGTAGTAAGTATAATCTAGCTAGTAAGTGGGATTAAAAAAAAGAACTTGACAGAAACATAATAGAGTCTCTGTACTCCCACGATATATATTCTAAGATTATTATTAATGAGGAAATTCATGAATGCTGTATCCTACACTATTGAAAATAAGAGAGGAAAAGGGAAAAATGAGAAGATTGGGGGTGGGGGAAGGGATAGGGTACCTACATATATTTCTTTTCCATGTACTTTTCCTTTTCCTCTTCTTCACTCCCTCTCCTCATCTCACACCAGCCAGGTCATTTAACCTGTCTGAGAATCCCTTAGTTTCCTCATCTGCAAAATGGATTCAATGCCTTCTAAGGTTCTTTTTAGATCTATTTTATGATCCAATGATCATCTCTTTTTACCACATATACAAATGAACACCAGTTGTATGTTGGAGATTATAAATTGTGATCCCAGCACGTCACACACTAAGCTAAACTGGAGAATCAAGCAAACAAGAAAGCAAATATTTCTTAAGAGTCTATTATGTGCCGCCTCCCCTATGTACTCTACAATAGTGACACTGATTTCTTAGCTGCTCCTTGAATAAAGCATTCAATTTCCAGACTCCAAGTATTTTCACTGGCTGACATCATACCTGGGAGGCCTTCCCTCCTCAACTTCACCTCCTGGCTTCCCTAGCTTCTTTTGAGGCCCAGATAAATTCATTCTTCTACAGTATGTCTTTCTTGATCCCCCTTAATTCAAAATCCCTTCTCTCTGTTGATTACCTCCAATTTCTCCTGTCTGTAACTTGTTTGTACGTAACTGTTTGCCTGTTGTCTCCTGCATTGTACTGTGAGTTCCTTGGGGGCAGACACTGTCTTTTCCTTTTTCTTTGTAACCCAAGAACTTAGCACAGTGTCTGATGCACAGTAAGTGCTTAAATGCTTCTTGATTTATTAACTGACTGACAGGCACTGTGTTGGATGCTAGGGATACAAAGATTAAAATGAAACATTTCCTGCCCTCAAGGAGTTTACATTCTACAAGAGGAGAGAATAGGTATGCAAATGAGTAATTCTTGTTGTTCAGTCCTACGTGACTTTTTGTGACCCCATCTGGGATTTTATTTGCAAAGATACTGGAGTGGTTTGCCATTTCCTTCTCTAGTTCGTTTTACAGATGAGGAAACTGAGGCAGACTAGGTTAAGTGACTTGCTCAAGGTCACACAGTTAGTGTCAGAGACCAAATTTAAACTTAGTTCTTTCTGACTCCAAGCCCAGCACTCTATCCACTTTGCCACCTAGCTTCCCTACACAAGTAAGTATTGATAAAATAATCTGATCTAGATAGGGACACAGGGGAAATTGGGGAAAACTAGAGTTTATGAGATGTATACCCTTCAAACCCATTCCTTATATCTTAATTCAGGTATCAAAACACCAGCTGCAACTGAAATTTTGAAGTTTGTCCTAAGCATCTCTGTGCTAACCTTTTTGAATCACTTTCCAGCTTCCTATCACTCCCTTTCACACACACACATCCTCTTCATTCAACCTTCATTCTGTTCTCAGACAAAATCCTCCTTCTTACCCTCTGTACACTCTGGGGCTCCTCCTTCTCCACTTTAATCAATAGAGCTCTTGTCCTCTAGTGTTCCCTTAGGTATGGATCTTGATTAAAGTAAATTGAATCCAAGAGTAAATGAGGTTGAACACAGCCCTCCCCAACCCCAGACCTTTTATTTAAGGGAATCTTAACTGATTCAAATGAATCTCACTACTTGGTTAAAGATATTGGTGATGATGCTAAGAGAGTAGATTGAAAGTCAATAGGAAACAAAAAGTTTGGAAAATAAAATGATGAATTTATTATATATTTTAAAAGAAAGCAAGCTATCCAAAATATAGTCACTACTTCATGTAAAATCTTCTTTTTCACTACTACTATAGGTGTAGAAATACTTATCTTTTGCATTACTAAATTCAAAGTTTTAAATAAAGAAAGATATTAGGGGTAAGTAAGAGAACATTTTTGAGCAGAGAGTTTTCCTGGGAACCTTGCCTACACTTAATCACCACAACATTCTCTATAGTAGCCCCCTTCCAGAAGCATTGCTGTTCCTCTGTCAGAGAATAAAATGAGAAGGAAGGAAGGAAGGAAGAAAGGAAGGAAGGAAGGAAGGAAGGAAGGAAGGAAGGAAGGAAGGAAGGAAGGAAGGAAGGAAGGAAGGAAGGAAGGAAGGATGGATTTAATAAGTATCTACCTTGTGCCTACAACTCTGCTAAGTGCTTTATAAATATCATCTCCTTGAATCCTCACAATAAGCTTGTGAGGTAGGTGCTTGTATTATCATTATTTTATATTAGAGAAAATTGAGGCAAACAGAAGTTAAGTGAATTGCCCAGGGTCATACAGCTAGTAAATGTCTTAGAATGGATTTGAACTCAGTTCCCACACTATTTTTTCCACTTCACTTGTACCCCTTCACCTTAAAAGCTCATAGAAGCTCATAGAAAATTTAGTATGCTTGGGAAAGAGCAAAGTTTGGCACAATCAAATATAATTCAGTGATCTGATCTAACAAGCATGTATTAGCACCTCCTGTATGTCAGGCATTGTACTAGACCAAAAGTGGTGAGTCTGCGGCCTTGAGGCCACATGTGGCTCTCAAGTGAGGGCCTTTGACTAAAACCAAACTTTACATGTGGCCTCAAGGCTGCAGGTTCTCCACCCCTGTACTAGACCCTGGAGATACAAAGACAAAAAAAAAAAAAAGGTCAGAGTTCTAGCCTTCAGAGAGCTTCCATTCTTCCAGGCTACTGAAGCTCTGAGTCTGGCATACAACCAGCCACACACAGCTTAGACCAGATCATCTAAACCTCTTCTGCCTCTGAGAAAGTAGGCAACTGAATTTAACTCAGCAAAAATTGATTAAGCACCTGATGGCTTTAAGATCAACACTCTGCTTTCTTAGCTTATTAATTCCATCACAAATATAAGGAGTATAGGGGACTCCTTTAACCATATTTGTCCATCTTTTCTATCCTAATGTGTTCCTTGAAGCCAAAGGCTGCATCTGCTCTCTTAACATATCCCAAGAATCAAATAAACTATTAAAGGCAACATATTGTAGTGAAAAGGTATTAGACTGTTAGGAGAGTAGGCTTCTAGTCTCAGTTTACTGGCTGTGCAACCTTGGGTAAATTACCTTCCCTCTCTGGGCCTCACTTTCCTTATCCCTAAAATTAAGGTAGGTGGGCTAGGCTATCTCAAAAGTCTCCTCCAGCTCTGAGATTCTATGGCTATATACAAGAGCCTGGTAAATAGAGACCTACTGACTTATTGTCAGGAAGGGAAAGAAAGAGATGGTGCCTATGCTCATCCTATAGTCCCTTTTCCTGGTTTCTGGTGGTGATATTGTTTAAAGTAAATAATATCATGCCCTTGGAATTAACTTTCTTACCCTTGCTGCAGCTCAGTAAAAAGCAAGCTATTATTTTCAAATGTAGCCAAAATAGAAATTTGTTTGCTGTATCATGCATAATTGTTACAAGGGTTTAGATTTGTCTTTTTTAAAGTGTTTTTGTTGGGGGGGGTGGAATGAGAGGTAGAGGGGGATCAAGATAGGCTAGCCAGGAAAAAAAAGAGAAAGATAAAAAGTAAAAAGGTAATTGAGAGTTTTTTAATGAATAAAGGGAAGGCCAGAAAGAATCACAGACAAGTAGGGCAGCTTTGATAATTATTTGTTGAATATAATGTGTATTTTAAAAGAAAATTAATCTGTATATAATAAGGATTAATTATTTACAATCCTATTTTTCTGTTCTACTGTGCATAAGAAAATGCTTGGTTTTTTGGTATTTAAAATTAATTTATTTGAATACAGAATTAAAAAATAATAATTTAAAAATAAATAAAATAGAAAGCCAAGGATATGTAGAGAAAGGAAATCTGGATTCTAGGTCCAGGTCAACCATTTCTATTACTTGTTTTACCTTGGGAAAAAAATCATTAATCTCTCAGCTTCATTTTTTTTTTCATTTTCAATAAGGGAATATAATACCTATTCTGCCTACTTCAGAGTTATTAGAAGGATCAGATGGGATTCTATATGTGAAACTACTCTGAAAGCTGTAAAAACAACTATTCTCAAAAAATTGGTATTACTATCATTTTTTAAAAATTGAGACATGTACTGGTCCTGTGATTTCATTGTTACAAGGAACTTCCAGATAAGGAAATGCCCTCTACCAATGTAGACTGGAAATTTCTGTGCGATTTATAGTCTTAAAGACTTGTCTAGAGTACTGAGAAGCTTAGAGATTTGCTCAAGGTAACACAGTCAATATGTGTCCCAGGAACTTAAATCCAGGTCCTTCGAGCTCTAAGATCAGTTCTCTGCTGGTTACCTGATTTATCAGATTTTCAGGCAAAAAGAAAAAAAAAAGGAAGACTGTATTCAATGATCTCTGCCAATATGAAGCTTTTATGAAAAAACAGACTTGAGGTTGACACTGGTAGCCATGTGGGGTGGGGTGTTTGTGACTCCTTTTCTGATGGCATTTTGCAGAATGGCAAAGAATTCCAGAATGAGCCTTGCAAGTGCATCCAATGAAAACTACACATTTTGCTGGCGGGTGTTTTGTGCTTGGGATTATCTCATAGGAAACCCAGAGGCTGCAGAGAGCAAGGCTGCTGCCATTGTGAATAGCATCAGGGTAAGCAATGTGACTGCTCAACTAACATGGGGCCAGGAGATAGAGAGCTCCCCGGGAATGTATTTGCTTTTGGGAAGTTATCCAGCAAATTTATTTGGAACGTTTAAGTCTCGTTCAAAAAATATTCCCCATCCCATCTCTCTCCCACCCCAACACATACACTGGAAGAATGTTAGCCTAACCTTTCAATTTCTTAGCATCTAATTAACATCTTCTTAAACTTGATTAATGAAATTAACACCATAATTTTTTATGTTACTGATGACTTAGCATCTTCCATTTCAGAAAGTATTAGGGTCAAAGAATCATAGGACAAGTTTAGAATTATAAGGCATTTCAGAAGTGATCTGATCCAGTCAACTTATTTTACAGATAAGGAAACTGAGCTCCAGGGAAGTTAAGTGACTTGTCTAAGATCACATGTGAAGTAATCACGAGAGGATTCCAGCCTTCTTATGCCATAGGCCAATGCTTATTCCAAGCTGAATGAGCTAAACAAGCAGAATCTTCCCTTACCTACCAGTCATATTGCCAAACTAATGAGTGGGTTATTATTAGGAATATTTGTATTGTTCAGTTTACAGATTATTACCAACTAATGTTGATAACCATGTGAAGATTTTTTTAAGTAAATTCTATTCAACAAATGTTTAAGTGCCTCCTGTTTGCTAGGCCTGTGGGAATGCAAAAACAAAAGTGAAATGGTGCCTGACCCTCAAGAAGCTTACATTCTACCACAGGGAAGCTTATATTCTACTATAGGGATACAACATATACACAGATTAATAAACAAAGGTAATTAGAAGAGGGAAAAAACACTATTGGATGGGGGGGTGTTTGGAGAAGGTTTCAGGAGGAGGTTCAAAAAGCTCACAAAAGCTTAGCCTTGACAGAAGATTAAGATTATGAAAGGAAAAGGTAAGAAGGAAATGAATTCCAGCAATATAAGAGACAGTGGGATCAGGAAAAACAGGTGGCTTACAGTAGCACCTCCCTTGTCCAAAGGCCATTTGCCTGGCAACCTTAACTAATCAGAATACAGCTGAGAACCTGGAAATATGCAAAAAGAACTAGCTTAAGATGCCACAGTATTCAAGCTCTAAAATCCAAGCACTTTTCTAATAGGATAACTCCTCAGGACATTACACAGAATGTTTTTACTTTTATTTTATATACAATTCTATCAAGGATACTTATCTGAGCAGTTTAGCTTACAGGAACTAAGGATAGTTAACTTAGAGAAGGGAAAGGGGAATATTTTTATCTTCAAAAATTTCAAAACTGAGTGAAAAAGGGGAAGAGGATTTCGATTTGCATTATTTGGGAGAACTGGGAATAATGATTAGAAGATACCAAAAGGGAAATTTAAGCTTACTATAGGGGAAATCCCTAATCATTACAGCTATCCAAAATTAGAATGGGCTCTCTCTGGGAGTCCTAGTGCAGGATTCCCCTAAATAGAAGTCTGAAAGCTAAGGTTGAATGAACACTCATTGTGTTGTAGGGCATTCTTGTTCATGTATAGATGGGACTAGATGGTCCTCAAAATGCCCTCCAATTCTGAAAGTCCATGATCTGATTGCCAGGCCCCATTAGATGAGAACCAGATAGTTAGAAAGGAAGGGGGACAGGGTACAGCTCAAAACAGGAATGTTGACAGCTAAAATGATAGCTAACAACCTGACAGGAAAAGAGGAAACATATACACTGTAAAATGCAGGGTGGGGAGGGACAAGAAAAGAATTCAAATGGCATAGAAGTCTAGGAGTCTTTTCATGTACGGTCGTGCAGCCTATAGATTTCAATATACCCCAAGGGCATCCCTGTATTTTAAGCAAAAGGAAATAATAGACCTTTAACCATGAGACCTTCATTCTTATATGTGTATAACCTCAAAACCAATAACATACTTAGAGAAATAAGCTTTCTAATAAAAAGAAATCTTATTACCAATAATTAGATTTATTTTATTACATAATGCTATTTTAATGTTATATTTTCTTGAAGGAAGCTATCTTGGAGGAACAAGAGAAGAAGAAAAGCAAAAAATTGTATGTATTAAAACTGTACTTTTGTGGTCACCCAAACTTCTCATGAATTTCCTATTCATTTTATTTTTTTCAAATCAGTAGCTCATCTGTACCTTATTTCCATAGGCACTCTAACCAATTTTTTTTTTATTCTGCATTGCTATCATCCTTCTATGTTACGGTATTGAATAGGTTTATAATTTACTTAATGTGGAATTCAGATAGATTCCATATCTTTCCATATTTCATGTACAGTCCATAGAAGTATGTCCCAAAATTTTATGGGATAATATAAACTGAAGAAGTTTGAAGGAATCATTTCTTTGCTATTTTATTTGAAGAATGCATCCTGTGGCTTTTTCTCAGCACAGTATGTGACATTCAGGCATCAAATGAGCAGATGTTTGATTTCTGTTTATCAAAGTTCTCATCTTTCTTCAGAAACAAATCCTTTTCTTCAGGATCATAAGGCCCACAATTGAGCCACCTTCTATTTCAGCTCAATCACGGCATTTACAGGCTTTCCTGGGCTATTTCTTTTGGTTTGTGCCTATCAGATGCATACCAATATCATTTGAATTATCAATGCAACTCATTCCCTTGTTTCTTTCATTCTCCTATTTCCTCTTTTGTGGCCCATGGAAATTTAAAAATTAAGCCAGCATTGAGGGATGAAGGGTTAGAACTAGTTAAACCTCTTAGAAGAGGACAAGGTCCAGGACAGGAAGATATACAGATGTTAACTTTTATTATTGTGTTATTTAATAATAAATAAATGTCTATACTCTTTGATGTTTCCAGAACACAGAAAGTTTGTTCTGAAAAAAAAATAATAATAATACCTCAAACTTATCTGGTGTTCTAGAGTTAAAAAAAAAAATGCTTGCCTTATAACAACCTTGTGAGGTGGTCACTAAAGGTGTTATCATCTCCATTTTACAAATGAAGAAGCTTAGACTCAGTGAATTATTTGTTGACTGATCACAGAACCTCTAAGTCTGAGTCAGGACTCAAAACTCCAAGCCAAGTCTGTGTTTTCCTTCTCCTATTACCCACTACCTTTTCTGAAGAGTTAGAGATAATCAAATAGATTTTCCCATGCTTAGGAAACTAAGTTATAAGAAAGGAGTTTTCCTTTCAGGATGAAGAACCACCATCATCTAGCAGAAAAAGCTAGAGAAAGAATTAGCTACATGACTTACTGGCTACATGACTTTGGACAAGCTGTTTTACTTTTCTGAGCCTCCATTTTCTGTTTTGGAAAAAAAAATTTTAATTTTTTTAGGCAATTGGGGTTAAGTGACTTGCCCAGGGTCACACAGCTAGTAAGTGTCAAGTGTTTGGTTTGAGGCCGCATTTGAACTCAGGTCCTCCTGATTTCAGGGCTGGTGCTCTATGCACTGCGCCACCTGGCTGCCCCAAGCCTCTGTTTTCCCATGTGTAAAAAAAGAGTTTAAACTTTGACTTTGTTCCCAGTTCTCATATCCATTGATTTTGTGAAATATCAACTTCTCATGACTTAGAAAGGTGAGTAAAGGTACTCCAATATAAGAAATAGTTTGTAACCTTCCATCCAAAGATTAGAAACAACATTGACTAAATTCTCCACATTTCTGGAACAGACAGGTTTTCATTGATTGCATTGCACACAGGTTCAAATGCTAGATGAGTCATAGACACTTCACATTTTTCCATGGCTCCAGATACTCTTAACTCTGATATTTCACAATTATATTCTGTTGCTTACTAAAGGGAAAAAGCAAGAAGTATAGCTGGATTGAGGCAAAATCCTCATCAGTACTAGGAAAATTATTTTAAATGCATGCTATTTAAAGCAGGGTCAATATAGCAAAAAAGAACCCTAAACTTAGTGCTGGAAATCGGAATTTGAATCATAAGTTCATACGATCATAGATTTGAAGTGGAAGGGAATTAAGAAACTATCTAATTTGACTATTTATTTTTATGAATGAGAATACTGAGGCCTAGAGAAGTCAGGTGATTTTCCCAAGGTTACTCAGCAGGGCGGCAAAGGCAAGATTTGAACTCAGGTCCTTTTACTCTATCAGGGAATGACTGGTGGGTAGATTCTTTCTGTTTCCATTTTTGTCTTCCTGTTCTAAGAAACCAGGGCAATTTTAAGAATTTTTAAAATACTTATTGGTCATAGCATTCAAATAATCCAATGATTCTTAAATTTTTTCATGCTCAATCTGTTTTTCAGATCAGTTGTTTGATACCTTATACTTTTTTCTATTTTTTTCAGCCTTTTGATTTTGTTTTAAAATTTCTTGTTGCCTCATGGAGTCACTGGCATGAATTTGGCCCCTTTGAATAGTTAAGGAGTTTGTTGCTTGGGCCAAGTTTTGTAACTTTGTGCCAAGCTATTAATTCCATTCTCAATTCTTTCTCATAACTCTCATTTCTTTTCTTTTCTTTTTAATTTATGGAATAAAACAAGCATTTCCATAACATAGTACAATAAAAAAATGACTGCACATGAAACTGCAAATCTACTATGCACAACTCCAAATATACAACAAAATTATCATGTAAATTTCTTTTTTTTTCTTCCCTTCCCCCCACCTCCACCCTAGAGATGGCTACCATTAGGCACAAATAGGTGTGGGTATATGTAAAATTATTCTATATATACTTCTATTTATCAATTCTTTCTCTGGATGCAGGTAGCATCCTTATATGTCTTTTATAATTAATTTGGGCACTTATAATAGTCAAAATAACTTATTCATTCATATTTTCCCCCTCAGGTGATCTCATGTCACATATAAAAACTTTTTTTAACTCTTGCTTTATCTCCTCCAGAAATTCTAATAGTTTGTGCCTATGTTGTGTCTTTATCTGAGGCAATGCTTATAGATATTTTGGAGTCATTCTCTTCTTCTGGGTTTGTGTCTTGAGCATCCCTGCCACCATAATGGTTGATAATAGTGGGGTTCTTTTTTTTTTTTAAATGTTATTCTTCCAGCCTACCTGCTTGCTTCAGATAATGTTAGGGCTGGGTTCTACCACACTTCTGGAGAGAAATTCAGGGCTGGTCCTGTTGCTGCTTTCTTGGAGTAATGTGGATGGTGTTGTTCTATAATCTCAGGGATAGGCTAGGGACCTGTAAGCTTTTAGTACACTCAAAGTGGTCTGATAAATGGAAAAATCTGATTGCTGCCTTCCTGGTCTGAGCTGTGCAAGTTCCTGACCTGGATTTAGGTCTGAGCAAGAATAGACTGCTGCTGGACTCAGCCCACGTCAACCACTTAGAAAGCTCTGAACTTTCTTTTTTCTTCATGTGCAGCTCAGGGCCTTCCTACCTGGGAATAACAATCTCCTGTGCAGGTCACCTTTTTTTTTTTTTAGCAAATCCTGGATCAACCCCCGGAACTGGGTAGGGTGTGACAAACCTGCCAGTTCATAACTGTCCTCATTGTAGTGCCCCAGCATGTATCTGGTGGTACCCAGTATGGGTCTAGGACCCGCTCTTATCCTGGGCACTGGAGCACTCCACACATGGCATGCTCCTGGTCAACCCTGGTATCTACAGAACCTCCTCTCTGTCAAACTGGGATGGACAAATGATTCACTGTGACTTTTTCTGGATTCCCTCATCAGGATTTGGTCTGGTGCATTTTGTAGATCTGTTTGTAGAAGTTTGTGGAATAGAGCTTACCATACTATTCCACCTTGGCTCTGCTTCTTTCCTTTGACTTAACTGAGTGCTCTTTCCACCTCACCATGCTGCCTCACCAGCCCTGCTACTTATTACTGTGGCACCTTGTCTTTTAATATTTCCAAGTCTGTTTCTTCATTCATACAATGGAGATAAATATCTATATCATCAACCATACAAGGGTTTTGCGAGAATCTCGTGAGAAAATGTATAGAAAACACTTGAAATATAAAGCACTCCTGAAATCTAAGATATTATTATTAGCTTTGTGTATCAAGGGTAGCACATTAGTGTCAGTATGTACCCCATGCAGAATTCCCCAAAAAGCAGCATAATTCATGATGCGAGTGAAGAAGAACCAATGTACCCATCCATATATCCTATACAGAAGTCTCCATCACCACATAGTTGTGAGGAAAACAAAGGAGGGCAAAAGGGAGGCTTGTTAGTAGCTTTCATGAGCATGTCTATCTATATTTTATATTCCTTAGGAAATAAGTAACTGTTCAAATAGCCAATTATTATTCCAAACAGAGAATCCAATTCGCAGTAAATGTGTTTTATGACTTAAAGTACACTGTCTATATGATAACTACCCTTCCAAAGAGAGTTCTGTGACCCTTTTTCATCTCTTTTTTTTTTCAGGGCAGTGACCATATGTCTCCGGATCATCGCAAACATCCTAGTGCTCCTCTCACTTGCTGGGAGCATTTATCTCATCTACTTTGTGGTGGATCGGTCCCAGAAGCTGGAGCGGACCAAAGAGGAACTGACCCTTTGGGAAAAGAATGAGGTTTTGCATATTAGCTCAGTTTGAACAAGAATGCCTTTGAGAAGGCTCATTCCAGTTTTCCTATTGAAAGTACTGATTTGCAGTCATTGCAGCTGTGTTACTTTTTTTTTCCAAGTATGGTCAGAAATATCCCTAAGAGCTTATCCTCATCCCACCCTTCCCAAGAGTTGCTTATTATACCTACTCTCTAAAGCTTAGAATGCAAGGGATGTAAGCCAGCAACCACCCATTTCAAGTCTTAATAGGATACTTTTATTCTTCTCAACCACAGAGAGCTTTGAAAATGTTAGTTCAAGTTGATCTTCTTCTACTTGTCATATCCTTAGGACAAATGCCACCTTAGCTCCAAAGATCACCTGTTGACCTACAGGGATTTAAAAAGCAGAGGATTTTCACTTTACAGATGTGTTTTGTAGGAATGACAATTTAATAATCAAGTTCTGAGGGAACTAAAAGCTCAGGTCCCTTCCAACTCTAACATTTGAGAATCACATGGTATAAAAATGGCAAAAATTCTAGGAATGATAAAATAGTCACAGTCCTCCAGCTTTTTCAAAGTGAGTTATAATATGGAGTCAAGGTTAAAAAGGATTTGGAGAGACAATTTACTTCATCCAATCTGTCAAGACCACATTGAGACCAAGTCACTTAAGTGAATAGTTTTTTCTGTGACATTAAAAATAAATTTCATAATTTCCCTTGGTAATAATCTCTCTGTCAGAAAACTCACAATTCAAACTTAAATCTATTTGGTATCTTTCTCCCTTTTCTCTTCTCAGTGAAGATGGTCAACCAAAGTTATAATTGTTTGAAAAATGAACCAAACATAGTTTGAATGATTATTGAACCATCTTTATCTTTTTCCCTTGGTCTTATCTTTTATCCAAGGTGAGGAAAATGGGGACAGGGTGAGTAAACTACTGCAAAGGACAATGAAGTTGATTATTCAATTCAACATACATTTTTAAAGCACCTACTATTTTCAGAGCCTTGTTCTCTATGGTTGGGGAGATTCAAAGACTAAAATAAGATGCAGTTCCTGGCATCATAGAACTTATAGTGTACAGGGGATATAATATGTATACATATAACAAGTGCATAAAAAGGTTATAGACTAGATGCTATATGAGATTCCAGAAGAAATAGTCTTAATGAGTGGGAGGGGGAAGGAAGATCAGAGGAGGCTTCATGCAGAAGTTTATGTTTGAATTGGGCTTTAAGAATAGATAAGAACTCAACAGGTAAAGATGAATAAGATTTAACTTATTGGCATAGGTATAGAGATCAAAATGAGCAAAAACATAGAGGTGGGAAATGGGAGCAACAGCTACTGGGTACAGGGAGTAGTTTAATTTGACTAGAGCAGAGAGTGTATGGGGGGAAATACCATGAGATAATACTGGAAAGGTAGGTGACACCAGGCTGGCCTTGCATTCCAGGTTAAGGAATTTGAGCTTTGTTTAGTAAATAATAGGCAGTCATCTCAGAGTTTGAGCAGAGGAGTAACATGTCCAGATCTATGCATAAGGAAAACTTCTTGATAGCAATAGGTTTGAAGAGGCCAGGAAGTTCAGGAGGGAAGACCAATTAGGATGCTATTGTAATAGTCCATGTGGGTGGTAATGTGTTTTTACTACAGTAGTAGTAGTGGACGTAAGAGAGGAGTCAGATGGGAGAGTTACCATAGAGGTAGAATCAATGGAACTTGTTCTAAATCCTATTATATATAAATTACTTGAGAGAAAAAGAGAAGAAGGGAGGAAAGGAGAAAAGAGGAGAAAGAGAGAGACAGAGAAAATATAACACCAAGTCTTCAAACATGGGAAAACTGAATGAATAAGTAAATGGCAATGGCACAGACAGAAATATTTGAAGGACTGTCCCATTAAAGAGGCATTTGACATATTCTGCTTAGACCTTCAGGTCAGAGCTAGGAGCAATGAATGGGTAAAGCAGCTGGGAGGCTGATTCTAGCTCATTATAAGGAAATACTTCCTAGCAATCAGCATTGTCCAGAAGTGGATTAGGTTACCTCAGGAGAAAATATTTTTCACTTCACTAGAGATCATCAAGCAAAGGTTGGATGACCACTTGTCAGAGACACACAGTAGTGCTTAATAAACACTATGGATTGTCGTAGAGGAGAGCTCCTGTTTAAATATAGATGACCTTTGAAATTCCTTTCAACTCTGAGATTTCATAATTCTGCATGAAATCAAAATGACAAGTTATTGGAGAGAATGCAGGAAGCTCATTTGAGGACAGGTTGAGCTTGAGTTGCCAGTGGAATATCCAAGTGGCATCCAGGCACTAGGCATCGGTCATCAATATCAGATATGGGCTGCATTTCTGCCCCAACAACCCCTCTCTGCCGGAACCAGATTAATATGTAATTGGGCAATATTTAACACAATAAATAAAAATACAATAGAACATAGACAATATAATATGTAGTTTATGCAGCCACAAGGATCCTTACGTACGGTTTAGTGGCTCCTTTCTATTTGAGTTTGACAACACTGGGCTCAATGATGTCTGAAGTCTTTTCCAGTTCTAAATATATAAATCTGAGTTTTCCCCAGATACTCAGTCTGAGAAGCATTGGGTGGTATAGTCATATAAAATGAAGATCAATTCTCCCATCATCCAAGTACATGTATTATTACCATTATATTAATAGCTTTCTACATCAAATAATCAAGAGTTGCTTACTATGTCAGGAGTCATATGGCATTCTGAATCACTGATATCGTTTGTTTACTATGTATTGTAGTATACAAAGTACTCTATGACCCCTGATGTCAAAAATTGTAATCAATGTAGAAATTTAAGATGATTTCAAACTTCTAAGTCTGTACTTTCCTTCCTCTGTAGGTCAGTGTGGTAGTTTCTCTGATTACCATGATAGCTCCTTCTGCCTTTGAACTTGTGGCTGCATTAGAGATGTACCACCCACGAACCACATTGCGATTCCAGCTCGCGAGGTACAGTAGTCACTTTCTGTATTGCCAGTGTATGTAGTAACCCTTCCACAAGAACCAAAATGCAGCAAGTTTGTAAATCCCTTGTGGAAATTCTTTCCTCCAGACTTAGCATGGAGAACCTGGCACAACTATGCTTGGTCCCTAATAAATGTGAAATGAAACTGACATTATCTGTTCTGTTCTCCTTTAACTCCAAAGTCCTTCTTTGGTAGTAACACAAATAATGGAGGAGATGCATCTACTTTCTATGGAGGTGAGATCGAATCAATTATGGCTTCACCAAAAAAATGGACAGAAGGGACCCTAGAGATTATTTGACCTGACTCCTCATTTTACCAATGAGAAACTGAGGTCCATGAAGGTTAGGTGGCTTCCCCAAGGTATCACCGTGAGTGACTGGAGAGCTGGGACCAAGTCCATTTTCCTTTTGACTATATGACCATCCTCTCTTCATCTGACAGAGGGAAATTCCTTTCTTTGTGCCTACCTTCCTAGGAGGCATTAAGAAGAATCTAATTTGTTATCTCATTTGTGCTCACAATAATCACATTAGGTCAATTGGTACCATTGTTCTTGTTTCACAATAAGGAAAGAAGCTTAACGACTTATTTTTCCACTTCTCTACTAGATTGTAGCTCCTTGGGGTGAGGGGTTACGCTTTCTTTATCTTTGTGACACCCCCCCCCAACAGTGCCTAACAACTTGTCTTATATTTAGCAGGTTGTAAGGTAAAGGGAAGAGAGTTTCTGTTTAAAGCACACACACTGGTTTGTGCTACTGTCTAAATCTGTTTCTCTTCTCAAATCTGATCACATACTCACCTGAAAAAAGGAACAAGAGGTGGCATAATATATCTCAGGAGGGAAAGGATTATAACCTGCTCTCTGAGATTGGCTTAAGATACCCGATCTAGTCAAATCCCCACATTTTGCAAAGAAAGAAACAACTGCAGAGAACTGTAGTTATTCAATGTCACACAGCTAGTGTGGCAAAACCAGGACTAGATTCCCAGAAGCCTGACTCTCAATACTTCCCATCAAACTAGATTGATTATAATTTTTGCAATACAGACCCATCAATCAAATGCATGACAGCTAATTCTTTATTGTATATTTTTTACTTTCAGGGTTCTTGTATTATATCTAGGAAACCTGTACAGCTTAATCATTGCACTTCTGGACAAAGTGAACAGCATGAGTATCGCTGTAAGTATTGCAACATGCTCTAACAGCATCTTCAGATACACAGAGGAAAGACTACTACTACTAGATTTGCATATGCTGAAGTATACATACCTGCCACATCAGAGCCATATAATCCAGAAAAGGAAGGAAGGAAGGAAGGAAGGAAGGAAGGAAGGAAGGAAGGAAGGAAAAGGAAGGAAGAAAGGAAGAAAGAAAGGAAGAAAGAAAGAAAGAAAGAAAGAAAGAAAGAAAGAAAGAAAGAAAGAAAGAAAGAAAGAAAGAAAAGCACCTTCACAAAGAATATATATCTCAAACATGAGTTGCTCTAACATTGATACAGCAGAAAGTGATTGATCACTTTATGCCTATGTCCTTCAATAGCACCATAGAACATCTGGAAGTCAGAACTGTGGTGAATGTGGTGAATATGGTGAATTGGGTCAGTCATCCTAGCTCCCAAACTTGGGGACAGTTGTTCACTAAGTCTAAAAGCCAATGAGCAGTGGAGAAAGGGATGATATTTTTTAAAGACCTTGAAACAGGGTAGAAAGAATACCTAGAAATAATGAAATCATAGGTCTGATCCAAATCTCTCTCTCTCTCTCTCTCTCTCTCTCTCTCTCTCTCTCTCTCTCT